AAAAAACAATTAAATATTGCCAAGTTTTCAAACTAGTTCAAAAAGATCAGCGCTTAATAGGTAAATTTTTTTGCAACAAACTTCTAAATCCGCATCTATAAGCTTGATTTCTTTTCTGATAAAGTATTGTTGATGATAGTGAGATGGCAATCTACTCTGAAGGGCATTCCCAAAAAATGAACCTCATTTGATTGCACAGCTTTTCGGTAACAAAATGCTTTCTCAGCGCAGTAAACTAGATCAGAAATCAAATAGGATCACGCGCTTCTTATAAGAGGTTGTAGTTGATAACATTTGTTTAATGTGAAATTGAGTACAGCTAGTTAACTGTTTCTATTAAATAAAGTCTCGGTTTTAAAACGAAGTTGATGTAAAGTTGATAGCTTATAAAGTTTCACACAATATTCTAATCACTTGAGATTATTATTTTTTAAACACATTGGTAAATACTACTTGTCGTCAAATAGAAATACAGATAAAAGTGTCATGCTCAAAGTTCAATATAGTTATCGCTATAAAATTTTACCAGAAAAGGACATTAAACAATTAAAATGTCATAAAAAACAACTTTTGTTCAATTCATTTCAAGACATCCTAGCAAAACTTCAAGTAGTCCTCAACACCCGTGACTTGTGAAAAATCCCACGTCACCGATGCAACAAGTAAATGACTTCAGCATCAGTTCAGTGCAACCAGACTACCGTGCAATATGCGCAAAACATCGCATTTCTAATGAAAACTTTCTTCTTTAAACAACTTAAGAGTAGGAGATTAACGATTATCTGTAGATGTTTGAGAAGAGTTTTCTAGAATTAGACATGTTGTTGAACTGTGTGTTTCCGTCGCGCTCTGTTTTTGTGAGGTCAAAACTCACTGTTTTGAAGATTATACTAAAATCAGATGACTGGATTGAGGATTAGGGCAAAGATTGAACTTTAGTCACTGAAGAGAGGTGATAACGAATAGAGATGGCAACACAGAAGTAGCATTGTTATTGAAAAGACGGCAGTGCAATCAAGAAAAATGCTTATCAACTAAACGGAAAGAGAAACATTGAAACTGACGCCAATGATGACTGTTGTTGCTACTGCTTCAGTGAGCGTATAAAAAGGTCTTGCGTTTAGTGCACAGATAAAAACCTCATTCAAAATCATCACTTTCAAAATCATCATCTTTAAACTTGTCTCTAAATTTAAAGACTTCTTTTTACTATGACTACCAAGATTGACCATCTTCTCCTAAACATCAAATCCTACCTCAGTTTTCATCATCAAAATGACAATTTGAACAACAACAACAAAACACCTTCGCTGTATGCCCCTTTTCCAAGTGTACTCCAATCTAATCTCAAACCAGCATCAACTGAAGATACAAAGCTCCGAACTGCCAACAACGATGACAAGTACGATTGTTTGTTTTTGTTTTGACAAAAGTTTAATTTAGCGCATTAACAAAAAACTATTCTGATGATAATCCAATGTAATTTTTTATCTTTTCAGAGTTGATTTTGNACTGAAGATACAAAGCTCCGAACTGCCAACAACGATGACAAGTACGATTGTTTGTTTTTGTTTTGACAAAAGTTTAATTTAGCGCATTAACAAAAAACTATTCTGATGATAATCCAATGTAATTTTTTATCTTTTCAGAGTTGATTTTGAAGAGGTTCAGGAGATTGCTACTTTTCTCAAGGACAAGACATCGGTGAAGCCAGTCATCGGCATTATCTGTGGTTCAGGACTCGGCGGACTTGCTGATCTCATCGAAAATCCCGATGTCATTGACTACAAAGACATTCCCCATTTTCCCGTCAGCACAGGTATGTTTTGTGCTAAAATATTTTAATTTGTCGATTCTTAAAAAGTGTTTAACTCTCCATCTCAGTTTCCGGTCACAAAGGTGCTCTCGTTTTTGGCACTCTTAATGGCGTGCCGGTGATGTGCATGAAAGGACGTATTCACCCTTACGAGGGCTACTCGCTGACTCGATGCACACTGCCCATCCGAGTGATGAAGGCACTTGGAGTGCAAACACTGGTGGTCACCAATGCTGCAGGCGGCTTGAATCCAAACTTCGAGGTGGCCGATATAATGCTCATTCGTGATCACATCTTTTTTCCCGGATTCAGTGGTAACAATCCATTGCGAGGCCCGAATGACAATCGTTTTGGTGCACGATTTCCTCCCATGAACAAGTGCTATGATCGAGAGCTTTCTGAGCTGGCCAATGAATGCGCCCAAAAGCTGGGCATTACTCGATTCATGCGCAAGGGCGTCTATGTGATGCTCGGTGGACCCAACTACGAAACTGTTGCTGAAGCCAA